TTTTGGTCCTTCGAGCCGGATACTCATGAGCGGCCTGAGGATGAGACTGAGTCACGTCAAAGATCGAATCGAGCATCAGCTCGTTCTCAAAGAATTAATTGACACTGCGGTTGACCGACTGATTAAAGTTGGATATTCTAATCTTAATCCTCCACGGGTAAAAGCGCGTCTTGCATCTCTGAGAGAGACGTGGTTGCAATTTTCTCTAGGTCACCGTACCCTCGGTTTAACGATAACAAGATTTAATTCGGAAGAAGCAACGTCAGCTCTGCATCACTCATACTTCTCGGAAGGTCTCTTCTCAACAACTCTTGAAGCCTATCTCGTAGCTGTCAGACAAATGAGTCTGCTGCTTGAAGAGGATACGGAAACCTCGCATCGGCTACTTTCAACGCCTAGTACTTCTCAGAATTATGCAGCTCCTTCTCTTCTCTATCATGCTCTACTGACTCCAATCGACCTGCCAACATTCAATGGGTCTCCGGCGGATTGGCTGTCATTCAAGAACTTATTCATCTCTCTGATTGTGGACAATCCTACCTTGACATTGGTTGAGAAGCTTCAGTATTTGAAGACCAGCTTGACTGGATCGGCCTTACTTCTTCTCAAGAATACCACACTAATAGCTGACAATTTCCAAAGGGCATGGGATGCCTTAATAGCAGTCTATGAGAATAAACGCTTAGTGGATGCAGCCCTCCAATCATTACTCTCTCTCAAGCGCATAACTAAGGAATCAGCTTCGGAATTGGAACAACTCAATACGAACGTCATGCAGATTTACCGCACTTTAGATACTCTAAATCGACCAGGGCAAAAGTGGGATGACTTTCTCATCTTTACTGCGGTCCAACGTCTCGACGCAAAGTCATTAAAGGCATGGGAGCATACGCTAGGACTCTCCAAGGAACCTCCGACGTGGGTTCAATTGAGCGAGTTCCTCGTTACCAGAATGCGCTTGCTCAAAGCATTTGCAACCTCAAAAATAAGTAAACGTCAACATCCCAACGCTCTCAAGGCGCACTTCCAGGGGAAGTCAAAAGATCAAGCCGGAAAGAAGTTTTCCTGTTCTCTTTGTAAGGCCAATCACTACATATTACTGTGCCCTCAGTATTCTTCAAGAACCGTTCAACAGCGATTAGCGATTATTAACAAACACAAGTTGTGTTTTAACTGCCTGGGATCACATCGGGCCTCCGCCTGTAAGAACACCAAACGGTGTCAGAAATATGGACATAAGCACCACACCTCGATACATCAAGGAAAAGCCACCGCCTCTAAACCGGCAGCCGGTAAGCATGAGGCTACTAAGCCTGAGTCAACTAAAACTGAGACAGCGGTCAAGGACGCCAAGCCTCCCGACGCTAACGTACTGCATTCCTCTTCGAGAGTCGCAACCTCCGCCGTCCTTCTCGCAACAGCTCAAATTCAACTCGTTAATTCGCATGGAGATTCGGTGCCAGCCAGAGCATTAGTCGATCAAGGATCGGAAATCACCTTAATAACAGAACGCTTAGCTCAATCATTGAGACTCCCTCGAATTAAATCATCAATTTCTCTGGTCGGCGTGGGCGCTCAACGATCAAACAAAACCAAAGGACAGGTGTCGTTCAAGATCAAGCCACATTTTCCATCAAATTCGGAATACTTTGTTTCCGCGCACATTCTACCAAGGCTGACGGGATCTCTGCTGTCCATGCAAACCGAAACCGTAACATGGCCTCATCTTCAAGATCTACGTTTGGCTGACAAGGACTTTACTTCACCAGAGCATATCGACCTTATTTTGGGCGCGGATGTTTACGCCCAAATTTTGGAAAACGGAGTGGTCAAGGGAGACGCGGATGCGCCAATTGCGCAAAGAACGTCACTCGGATGGATCATCTCGGGTCCGTCAGGACCAGCTTCGCTTTCTCAAGATATTCACGGGTTCCATGTCTCGCTAGATCATCAACTTCATGAACTGCTTCAGCAGTTCTGGAACATCGAGGAAATCCCCTCGACAGTCACGTCGTCTCTCTCTCCTGACGAATCAGAATGCGAACAACATTTTGTCTCAACACATACTCGGGATAAGCAAGGGCGGTATACTGTTCGCCTACCATTCAAACATCCACCGGATCGCCTTGGCGATTCGAAATCAAAGGCTATTCGGATAATCCATCGTCTTCACAGGAAATTGGAACACGATTCCGATTATTCCAAACTCTACTCGGACTTTATGTTCAACTACGAACAATTACAACATATGACTCGCGTTCCGGAGAGTCAACCTGAGCCATCACTCACCTATTATCTCCCACATCACGGAGTTATGCGGGAAAATAGTTCCACAACGAGATTAAGGGTCGTTTTCAACGGATCAAGCCGGACGTCATCAGGTCATTCATTGAACGATCTATTACACACTGGAGCTAAACTACAAGTCGATCTACTCAACGTTCTACTGTGGTTCCGCCTCTTCCGATATGTCTTTTCATCTGACATGGAGAAGATGTTTCGTCAGATTAATATACACGAGTCTGACTGAGACTTTCAACGCATACTATGGTTCGCGCAATCCAACCGGATCACCACCTTTCAGCTAACCACTGTGACTTACGGTTTGGCTTGTGCCCCATTTCTCGCTCTTCGCGTACTGGAACAATTAATCATAGATGAAGGTGCCAATTATCCTCTTGCCGTTCCTGTTTTACAAAAGGGACGCTACGTTGACGGCCTATTCGGAGGCAGTGATGG